CAACAGTTCATTGTTTAAACTGTTTATCTGTGAAAAAAAAAATGCACATTATCCATCGTTGATTCCATTTAATGGATTTAAGAGTGACCCGATTTATTCAACATGCAAATAAATAAAAAAAAGAATTTGCTATGATTTTGAATTTCCGGGATCTTATAGTTTAGTAGAAGTGTAATGTAGTGCATGTTGCAGATCGATAAATGTCCCGACGTAACTATTGTCAACATTGTGGATGCAAGAACGTTTGATAACAAGTACTGAGATGAGAAATAGTGATGAGATAAGAATTGTTTTGTGAAAATTTACCGTTATTATGGAATGTCTATTGGGAAGATTATTATCATAACTATGTTGTAGATGTCAATTTATTTGTAATAAAAATAAAGTTTTGTGTATACTATAGTAGTTTAATTGTAAACGAGAACAAAGCCCATACAACAGCTCATTGGATATATATCACAGGTAAATTCATCGCATCTACATTACGTAGAGTGGCCGAAACAAGTAATAATTACCTTAAAAATAGAGAAAAAAACGAAAAACACCAAATCCCTAGTAGTTTCTATACGACTAAAAAAATGTGTTGCAGGATATATCGCGTTTTGCGGCAGGCGCAACGCATTAGTTTTTAGTGTGTAATCTAAGAAAAAAGAGTTTAATTTACGGCCTCGTAGCAAACAGAAACTTCTTGTGGCGCTGGACATTGGCCTCCAAAATACAATGTTTGCTTCATTCCTTGATTATAGTTGTTGCATGATCTGTGTATGATTTCTTGACTATCCAACAATTCATTATTTTCGTTGTATATTTCATATGTTGTTTTACTTAGTTCAAACTTTAACGTAAATGTATACCACGTTTCAACTTGGAGCTTTGTGGAAAATTCTTTCAGTAATGTACCTTCATTTTCAAATGGTTTCAAACTATTGTCATACGCATAAGCGGCAACTTCAATTAAATTTTCTTCTTCACAGTTTGCCCTCTGACCAATAACATTATCATTATCAAATATTAAACAACTAACAGCTCGTCTCCAGACAAAACGATCTGAATCTTTGTGATTATTTGTTAAAAAACCACATCGGCACGCACCAAATAATTTGTTCCAACTTATTGAACACAAATGTCCTTTCACGTCATTGACTGGGAATAAATATTGAGCAGTGTTCTTGTCAAATTTAACTTTTGTTGAATAAATCGGGTCACTCTTAAATCCATTAAATGGAATCAACGATGGATAATGTGCATTTTTTTTCACAGATAAACAGTTTAAACAATGAACTGTTGACAAACTTAAAAACAACGCAAGACAAACAAATAGCGTATTCATCTTTTTTTTGCTTTTAATAAAGTATCCACATTCCCAAGGAGAAAAGTAATTTTATTTATACACAATTATTTCCCTGGTTCGTTCTATTATTAAACGGACAAGTATGCAAATACTGCCATATGGTTTATTTCTCATAGCCGCTTTTTATATTTTGCTCTTTAAAAGGGCAAATTTTGGGGTGACATAAATATTTTCTCATATTTACATTTGTTTTTGTACACAAAAAAACAACTCAGGATGTAGGACATACTGAACAGCTACGCATGAGATAAAAATCAAAAATAAAATAGTTTTTAGACTGTAGAATATAAAATTGTTCATAATGATACCAGAACCAGAGTTTCTGTCTTCCAGCCATTAGAATCATTCAAAACTTCAGTAGTATTGAAATGCTCATAGTCGTAGATTGCGTATTTTTCAACATCCGTTCTAGTCGAAGGTTTGACGGCAATGCAGTGTTAGACAATAAAAGTCAAAGTAAAACAGCGAATTGAACTATATACATATATACTTTCCTACCATAAATCACTTGGTGCTTTGCTTATAAATATGGATATTATAAAAAGAATGCTTAAAGCTCCCCTCCGGGTCAGAAATGCCGATCTCAGGCAATAATATTGATTTTGAGAAAAGCACATGATTGGATAGCCCAAAGTGTCTACTTTCTAATGACATAATTTTTGGATAGGATAGGTTTTTCATAGCTTTTGAGCGAGTTTTCCAGACGTCCATAGAAAAGAAATTTGGCTTTTTGGCGCTTTTATTGCATAAGCGCATGTATGTGCCGCACATGACCGCGCACACGTTCATTAGATCCGCCATGACCGATAACCTGTAGCAAAATATCGACAAATTATTTAACGTTCAGTTTTTAAGTAAAACGCGTTTAACAGAATCAGAACTTATTTTGCGTGTTTCTTAAGACTGTTTTTTAGCTTCAGGGCTTTCGCTATTCACAGGAATTGTCAGTAACGATACATCGGAGGAAGTTTTTCTTTTTTTGATTTGTTGATAACACCTATAGGTAGGAGTTGACGGAATCCAATTTTTAAATTATGCTTCTATTTTTATAGAAATGAGGATTTCTAAGAAAACTTCGAAGGATTTTTCGGATTTTAAAGTTCTATTAAGCACCAGAAATCAGTAAATGAGAAATTCAAAAAGACACTCCTAGGCGTAGGTGTTTACTGCAAAACAAAACCAGCCCGAGCTCTCTATCATTTACCTGGAGTGAGAATTCTTGTGAATGACAGACGCCTATGTTTGGCCCTTGTTGTGGCGCCCTCTCACGAACAGTTGCAAGTGACGCCAAAAACAAAATTTCGTTACCACACTTTGACATGCCCAACATTTCCTGAAAGTTTGCCTCAGATCAGACCTACCCGGACTGAAATAGGTTTCTGACCCAGGGTGTGTGTGTGTGTGTGCCTTAAAGGATGAAACTTTTTAGATGTCTCGGGTATTTTTATGTTGTAAACTTGATTATTTTTCATTCACTTCAAAACAGAGCTGGGCAAGTCACGGGTTTTTCAAGTCACAAGTGAAGTCAAGTCATGAAAAATTTGCTCAAGTTAAGTCAAATCATGAGTAATAAAACATTTTCTCAAGTCAAGTCAAGTCAAATCTCGGGGTTTTCCAAGTCATGACTTGGAATTTTTATTTTCCGTAGAAAAATGCCTACAGCGAAGCTGGGTATGTTACAAGTTTTCTATGAGCTTCGGCATTTTGTTTAGATACGATGTTTGTTTTTCGTATTTCCAAAAAAGATGTGTTTTAAAAGATAATCATAAAAAAAGACAATGCTCTAATGAGTCTGACATAGTTCAAAAACAAATCACACGTAAATAATACACACGTAGCATGAGCACTTACGGGGAACCTTTCGAGGTGTAACCTTCCGATTCCAATGATTTGTACATGGATCGATAGATAAAAATTAGATTGCATAAACGGTTTAAAAATATGCATGACTTGACTTGATTTTTTATGCCAAGTCACAAGTCAAGTCAAGTCTTTTAAAAAAAATTTCAAGTCATGTCAAGTCAAGTCATGAGTCATCAAAAACGTCCGAGGTCAAGTCAAGTCAAAAATGACTTGACTTGACTTGACTTAAGTCATTTTTGACTTGACTTGTCCAGCTCTGCTTCAAAAGAATGTATTCCATAATACGAACCAAATACATTATTTAATCGTTTGGAAGTTCTTCTTTGAACGCTTCTCCTATCCATATAACTGAATTATCTCTTTTTTCAAGGTATGACGACAGAGTGTCAATTAAAAGTATTCGAATCTCATTGAGTTTTTCCGTGAAAATGAATCAAAAAATTACGAAGAAAAGTTCGTGAAAAAGAAAATTCTTTCTCTCTCTGTTCACTTAATACGGGTGTTATATATATATGCATGTTTTATCTCATTCTATTTAACTTAATTTTCGTGAACAGTATGTTCTCTTGAAAATGACTGTATGAACAGTCGAAACATCGAATAATTTATATTTTAAATAAAATAAAATATGAATGCTGCCTTCATCGAACGATTAGTGTTTTCTAAATTATCGGCTCTAAATCGATTTGATAAAAAGTTCTTTACGCGTTTGACATCGGTAGGGGTTAACGTTACTTTGGGGAAAGTAAATATAGAAAAAATTTTTAGCTAATAAACTTTACTAAAACACAGACATTAATAGAGTATTGTAGTCTGATTGTGGACTCTAAGATACTATGTATGGTGAGAATTTGATTATTCTACTCAAAAACGAAGGATCTTATTTGACTTGGAAGGAAACACTAATGTATGATCAATTTTAAAAAGCAAAATGAACAAAAAACTAAATAGCCAACTTTAGTCAAATTCGCTGCTGTTCTTCTGGCTCACTAAACAATAACTACTATTTTCTTTGTATTTTAAAAGATAAGAAAAAAAACAAAAATACGATGCAATATACCCTATATGCAAAAAAATGCATTACAAGCAAACACATACAAATATACAAGTGTATGAGCTTAAGAAAGGAGTAAACAAACACAACAACAATGAGAGCAGTTAAAATACACTAAGAACAATAAAAGACAAAACACAAAAAAATTTATGATCTGACTCATTGTGTGTAGTAGATGTATGTGTGCAAACGGGAATAAAACAGGCTGTGTTTATATGCTTAAAAACGAAGGAAATAAAAGTGTAAACTTCTAAAAAGATCTTGAAGAAAACCATCAGTAAAGGAACTTGTTCTTGTTGATCAAATGAAAAAATTGGCTTAATCGATATTTTTATACATCTCTTCAATTTGTTTATCAAAATATTTTGCCAATTCTGGACGTTTTGACTTTAGTGTTGGTGTTAACAACTCATTTTCGACGGTAAATAGTTCAGGATGTAGATAAATATCTTTCACCTATCAAAAAGCAGAACAACAACATTAATAAAATATTGTAAAGCAAAAAAAAAGAAACTTCATACATACTCTTTCGAATCCTTTTAAGTCATTTACTGTTTCTAAATTTTGCATGTCACCCAAAATAAGCTGTTTAATATCCTAATAACAAAAACTTTTCTCAATATAAAACTACTGATATATATATATATATATGTCATTTACCTTTCTTTTACATAACTCTATCATATCAGTCGGTAACTTATTACTTTTTGCATATTTTTCTAAAACTTCATTATCAGGAACAATAATGGCTACCGTAAAACTCTAAACAAAATCAAAAAGATACTAATCAGCATTTAAAAAATCATTTTGTCGTGCAAACATACTTTATAAGCGTTACCATGCACATACACTTGTGCAACATATTTGCTGTGAACATAAACATTTTCTAAGCGTTCCGGCGCAAGATATTCACCCTAAAAAAGATGATCGTGAGCTAATGCCCAGAAACTATTCCACATTTCACTATATTGGTTGAAAAGTTTTGTGTTAAGTAGGTCAACTTTAGTACAAACTTCTCAGACTCTTGTACTGATAATGCTTAGCTACTCGCGTCTAACATACGCCGGCTGTCTCCATTAGTTTGAGACAACACAAGTAATAATATGAATTAAATCGTTCATTTTACCTGAGACAATTTAAACATATGTTTCTTTCTATCCACTATTTGAATTTGCCCAGTCTATGCAGAAAAAAAAATGAAAATATTTTTTCTCTCAATCTGATGTTTTTATAAAAAAGAATTTACCTTCGCCCACGAAGCAATATCACCGGTATGTAACCATCCATCCTCATCTATTGCCTCTCTTGTTTTTTCTTCATCGTTATAATAACCAGCAAATACATTCGAACCTTTAATACATAATTCTCCAATATTATCTTTTGCATAATACTTCATGTCAGGTACATCACACAATTTAATCATATTACAAGCTAATGGGACACCAATCTACACCAAAGAATAAAGAATAAATAACACTGCTAAGAACAAAAGGATATGACTTACATTTCCTACTGATGAATCACCAGGTGCTTGACACGATGATATACCACAACATTCTGTTTGTCCATAACCTTCGACAACGTATGCACCACATACTACTTTTAAAAATTCTAATATTTTTGGTGACAATGGTGCAGCACCACTAACAATTAATTTCAAATTTCCACCGAGACGTTGTTGAATTTGTTTAAATACCACTTTATCCCATATAAAATGACGATTAACACGATGTTTGTGCACTATTTCTTCGGATTTCGATGAAAATGCATATTGAAATAAAGAACGTTTAAAGACTCCTAAATGTCCAATTGTTGTTTGAATATTATCATACATTCGATTCAACAAACGTGGTACACATGGCATTAATGTCGGTTTTAGCGCTTTTAAATCATCAGCTAACTGACGGACATCACCGAGATAATAACCAATTTTATGACCATTACACAAACAAAATAACTGAAAAAACAAATAAACAAGACAATAACTATAATCGTCACTGTATTACGATAGAAAATCATAATAAATCAGACAGTGCCAGATTTTTTAGGGTAAGTTTCAGTCACTCGTACTCTGAAGATCCAGATCCAAAGTTAATATTATGGTATTCGTATAGTACAACAACATATCGTATTATATGATAAATCTACTTATTATTAAGATAAATTATTTATGAATTTTAAGCTAATTAAAGGTGAAGCATATACACAAATTTTTTATTTGATTCTTTTTTAGCCATATAGTTAATTAACTTGAACCAAAGCGTTAATCTTACTACAGAAGTGCATGCATTTATAATTTTGTTATGACCAACCTGAGATGGACAACTCTAGCTAGCTTCAACTCCAATCTAACTCCATCTCCGGATTTCCGAAAGTTCAACTTAGCATAAGTCTTTTGATTTCCAGCGATTTCGATTAGATGGGGGAATTCTCCACTTTGTTTGAAACAATTACTCCGTTCATTTTAAAAAATTTACTCCTGCTAAAAAACAAATTACTCCGAAAAGTTAAAAGCCCTTTTTTTTAATTTTCAACTAAATTTTTAGAGTTGCTCCATAAAACTTCTCCCACCTTGCCAAAGTTATATCGAAAACGCTGTTGATTTCTTTGCCATTTATTTTATTACCAACTCTTTATTTTGTTGAAACATGATTTTCCACAAAAAGTCATTTCAATAACGTTAATTTTTAATCGATTACACCAAGGAAAAAAATAAGAGCAGTTACAGCATGAAAAAAGGCACATACTCTGCTGACAGATGCTTATATTTCTCTTTTTTCATTTACATCAAATTATAAGATCAGCTACGATCATCTGTTGAATATTGTATACATACACGTGCTAACGATAGATGCAATAAATGCACATCAACTTAAATACATGTTTGCATATTTCATATGAAGCACGCGTTAGAAATGTATTAGAACGTATAGGACAGTTTTGAACCAGAGCTATGGTCTTGAAGGTGAAAAAATTTAGAACAAACGCAACTTTAACTATGTTAATAAAATCCTCAACTGCGGAGTTGGAGTTGCCCATCTCTTTGATCAACTGTCTCTGCAAAATTCGACAGCCTTTTCTCTTAATAGATGATATTAAATCTCAAACTCTTCGACTCAACTATAGGCAGCATAAGCTAATTTAGTGTAGTAGTAAGATACCTCCATGTTGTGCAGTCATCTGGAATTATGAGGAGATGGAATAAATCTATGCATTCAATTGAAAAAATCAAGTAAAAGATATTAAAAATTCGTGTACTCTTTGTACATACTTCAATAGCTTGTTCATAACTGTGTGCTAATGGTAAATATGAAATGACTGTTTCTTGTTCAGCAAATACTGGTTTCTGAATATAAAAGAAACTTTATTTTATTGAATGTATGACATTTCTAAATTCAGAACTTACAAAAAATTCTGATGCCGATTGTACAATGCCAATGATATTTTTTTGTGTTAACATAGCTCCTTTTGGCAAACCTGTTGTGCCACTTGTATAACATATTTCAAATAGATCATCTGGTTTAGGTGGCTAAATACACAAAAAGTATAATTTACGGCTTGCGCATCATTTGCCGATTTAAACATACATGATGAGGTGATGGATGTGCTCGCCCTTGTTCCTAAATGATAGAAAACGAACGTATTAGTTATGGTTGGAGAATGAGCTTTGATCAGGTTGCCAGATATTTTATTTTAATGCGGGTTAAACATTTTCCAGAAAATGCTCTCAAAAATTAGTAATCCAAAACTAAAAAATTTGGTGGAAGAAATCAAATTTTTCTAAAAGCTTTTCTTAGAAAAACCATGGATATTTCGAAAGATTTTCTAGGCAGAGAAAAATGTCTCAGATATGAGAAAAAATACTTCTACCTGTCCTTCTTATTCAAGAAACCGAGTTTCACATAGCTTACCCGCAATTCATTGAATGTTGTTATTTCGAGATTAGCTTCAGTTGCTCGTTTTCTAATTTCGATTTCTTTTTCGGTCGGCATTGTTCTTGTCATGATTAAACGTTTTAATGATTGGACTTTTGACCGTAATTTGATTAAAATTAATATATTCTCCGGTTTATCAACGAAAATTGTACTTAAACGAGCTGAAATATGCACCTTATTACTGGATAATAAGTGTACTTCACATCTTACTTTGATTAATAATGTGAACAACAGCAATTTCTCCTAAAGTATCGTATAACGGAACATAAATCATAGAATGAAAATGGCAAGCGATTGCTGTCATCATCCACTAAACGAGAAACAAAATAAATAACATTAATAATATGTTTTATTATTACGTACTTCTACACTGTTCACAGCATAAATTCCAATAAAAGTTTTTTGACCAAAATTTTCGCCAATATGAATTAAACCGCTGCCAATTTCATTTGCTCCTTGTTCAACCTAAAATTGTACAATATTGCATTAGAAAAAAGTTAACAGCACAGTGTACATGATAATTCCTACTTGATCATATGACAACCACTCATAAGGTGATTCTCTATTTTGACGATAACCTAAACAATTTCCATCACCTTAAAAAAAAATATTCTATATAAATCAATTACCAAAAGAAAACAATTGAATTTTTCCAACCTATTTTTTTTGCGACGTCTTTTCCAATTTTGAATCCTTCATAAATTGTCTGATATTTACGATCATCATGTTCCGATTTGCCAGTTGTAACCAGTTGGCGGCCGGCTAATTTTGAGAAGACTCTGGCTTGTGGACAGCCTTGTGTCTGTAGCAAACGAAAGTAATGAGCATAAAAATCTCTATATATATATATAACGATACAACTTACTTCAGCTGGAATAGTCAAACGATTCCAATCAACATCATCGGTCATTCCTATTGATTCATCAACCATTAATGATGATATATTATCTCTAATCACCCTGTAATTTGAATAGACTGCACCTGCCGCAACCAATGCTACTCCAACACCAATTGCGGCTACATTAGAGTAAGAAATGACGGCATTATCGGAATCTGATGAGTTGTCCATCGGTCAAAATGAAAAAAAACTAAACGAAAATGTAAAAACAATATCAGCAAAATGAATGACTTTATCACCCTCCTACGAGATGAATGTCTATCATAGTCTGTGCGATTTAAAAGATGGCTCAGTATACAAAACATAGCTCCTTACTCGCAATAGATGATGATACAAATTCTTTATATGTGTAAGTGAAGCTACTATGACACGTGTACAATCCAATCCGACTATCCTTTTTTTAAGTATAGAAAATAATTCCTCCTTTCTAGTATTGATATTGCTCGTAATGTTTAAAATAAATAGAGAAGAATAAAAAAACTGTCCAATTGATAAATGCACATGGAAATATCTACTATATACTTCGACTTGACGAATACATATACATAAGCCTCCGCAAAACGCAATTCAACAAGTATCGATGCATAATAGACAATTTACATGGTTACTTCAGATCAGAGTGCATCTCAACGATTTAACCTACTGTCCCTTGTCCTCTCAAGAATTTTTGCTTCCCTCAGTTTCTTTTTAAGTTGTCTTAACAAATACGTTGGAAAGAGCCAATCAATACGCGAAGAATTCTTTTGCTGTTCTACTTTGAGATAGACACACGTATCTTTTGAATTAAAGCAACTTTGCTTTGCTTTTACTAAGATTGTAACAATTTCCGTGCTGAAAATAATCGTCAATTTAACATGTTTCAGATGAATGATCCTTCGTAGAACACGTCACTTTTTATTTCTTTAAGAGGAAAAGAAATAAAAAACTAAATCGTCGTTGGTCAAAACTAGATATCCATAAATTTTAAAAAAAATAACTATTATCAAGGTGAAATTTGGAAATTTTACAGCGATAGTAGAGATTTATGGATGCTTGGTGTAGACCATCTTCGTTTTATTACACAGATGAGTTATATCATCTCGATGAAAAAAATAAAAAAAAAATTTTAAATTATTCATAAGCGCTTACCTGTGCGCACTTCTACTAGGAAGAAATGAATTCATCCCGTAAACTATATAGTTTAACATTATCATCAAAGTTCATTTGATCCGAATATCACTATAGATATAAGAACTGATTTTTAAAAAGCTTTAAAGCAATACAAGTTTTAACTACTAAACAACAGTTTCAGAGAGATAAATTATTATTTTCCTGATTGCAACGAGTCTATATGTAACAGATTTGTGGTCATTTTTTGTGTCAAGCGTGCAGTAACAATAACAATCACCGGGAAACAAACTGCAAACAATGAAGGTGCTTTTTCAGTCACGTTTGCTTCTCACATAAGACTAACGAGGGAACTATCCCAAGTGTTAATCACAGATGCTAACGAGAGATACTCCAATCGATAGAGCTCGACGAGCTGATTCTAGTGGCATAAAGCATTTTTCCCAATGTTTCTTGAAGACCCAGTTTTCTAGAAAAACCAGTTTTTCAGAAACTTTAAAAAATAACCAAAACATTTTTAAATAAGGTATAATTGTAGCGCGCACATTTCTGATTAAAATGAGACATTCCCCAGCTCTACATGACGTTTATTTGCAAAGTTATAGAATTTACAAGAAAA